TCACTGAGGATGCCTGTATGAATTGTAGCACCATGTCGTGGGAGCGGAGAACCTCCAGACTAGCTGCAGTAGAGGCACTCTTGATCTCAGAGGCCCCTCGGCAGGGAAAAGTGTCGGCTAAGCGGAAAAGGGTGGAAACGGTGAGTGTCTCCACCAGTAAGAGACATAGAGAGGATTCTTTAACCAATAGAGTGGAGGTGTTGACCTCAGAGTTTGCCCAGATTAAGTCTTTAATTCTAAATCTGCAACCAAGGGAGGCATCATCACCGATGTTGAGAAATCCCAGTAAGGGATTACCTGTTCCTGAGGAGGATATGCTGTCCATGGCAGCCTCTAAAAAACAGTTTCGGGAGGAGGGAAATGAGGAATTCTTATCAGTAAGCCACTCTCACTTCTCTCATGAGGACTCTCAGAACACGGCACAGGGTTCAGCTGAAGGAGTAGAATCAGATCAGGATGTGGTGAGACAAGCCCTTCAGATTGCATTGGCACGCTTAAGCCTGGACACTGCCCCTACAGTGGCAGCTCCCTCCAGTGCCTTTTTCAGAGGAACGGCAAAACCATCTGCTCTTAGCATTCCCCCATCCAAGGATTATATCGGGGAACTACAGAGGTGCTGGGCTAATCCCAAGTCACTTACTCATCATACCACAGCAAGCAGGGCCTTGGCAGCAATGCACGAACCAGACTCTTATGGCCTGGGTCAGATGCCGAAAGTGGATCCATTTATCGCCTCTTTTATTATATCACCGGAAGAGGCTTGGAGACCTAATGCTCGCTGCCCACGACCTCAGTGCAGAATAACGGACGATCTTCTTAGTCAAGCGTACAATACTGCAGCACGCATGGGTCGCATAGGGAACTCACTCTCCCATCTTATGCTGGCGCTATCCCAGTCTCTCCAACCTATTGGGGGTGATCCTTCAGCCCAAATACTAAGCGATGCATCATTGCAAGCATTCGCATTCATGTCACGAGAGTTGGGTAGACTCATGTCAACACTCACTCAGGCACGCCGGCAAGTATGGCTGGCACAGTCTCCATTGTCAGAGGCCTGTAGGAGAACACTTCGTGACCTCCCTGTAGTCCCAGGCCAACTGTTTGGACCAGCGGCACAGCAAACTCTGGAACAGAGCATTCAGACGAATAAGACCAGACAGCAGCTGGCAGACCTAAGAGGAACTCCACCATCACAAGTTAGACAAGGGTATGGGGGGCGGTATCCTACTCGCTCTCAACCTTTAGTTCGTTCTGGTGCTGTTCAGAGGAGCCAGCCAAGGCAACTAGATCAGCATGTGCAGTACCCCAGAGCACGAGGACAGCAAGTATTTCGGGCTCCAAGGGGCAGGGCGTCAGGTCAGCGCCCCCCCAGAGACAATAAAGCCCAGGCTCGCAGGGCATGAAGTCCTGGGGCCAACCGTCGGACGTTTTTCACACCAGCAGCTCAATTTCTGGAAAGAGAACACCTCAGACCCTTGGTTAATAGCAACGCTATCTCAAGGGTACAGGCTGCAATTTCGACGGCGGGCCCCTGCTTTCAATGGGGTCAAGATGACTACTGTCAAAGACCCCAACAGCTCACTGGCATTGTCAAGACAAGTAGCCGAACTCCTAGAAAAGGACGCCATAGAACCAGTAAAATGGTCAGCACGGCTAAATGGGTTTTACTCAGTGTACTATATAATCCCGAAAAAAGATGGCGGCGTAAGGCCCATTCTCGACCTTCGTGGCCTCAATCAGTCCCTCAAGGTTTTACCATTCCACATGCTACGCACAACAGAGGTCCTTCAGGCAGTCAGACCACTACAGTGGTTCACCACAATAGATCTGAAGGACGATTATTTTCATATCCCAATTGCACTGCAACACAGACCCTTTCTCCGCTTTGCATTTCAAGGTCAGGTCTATCAGTTCCGAGTCCTACCATTTGGGCTGTCCCTGTCCCCTCGGGTGTTCACCAGGTGCGTAGCGGCAGCGTTGTCCCCAATACAAGCCAGGGGGGTACAGGTGCTCCCTTATCTGGACGACTGGCTCATCTGTGCTCCATCTCAAGGGCAGGCAACAGAACACACCAATCTGCTGATTGCCCATGTCACTCAGTTGGGTCTCAGGGTGAATTTCAGCAAGAGTCAGTTGACCCCATGTCAGTCGGTGAAATTCATAGGCATCACTCTAGACTCGAGATCAATGAAAGCATTCCTATCACCTCAGAGGGTGGACAGCATATTGCTCTTACTCCAGCATTTTCGGAAACAGATCAAGCTGCCATTCAGAGCGGTCCTCAGATTGATGGGCATGCTAGCAGCAGCAGCGGCATTGATACCATTGTAAGATGGGTAAACAGTCTTCACCTGAACCCCACATGGCACAGGAGCAGGCTGGTCAAAGTTACAGAACGATGCCTTCTTACCTTGAAACAATGGAAAAGGAGGTCATTCCTGACGAAAGGGGTAGCTCTGGGTGTGATTCCCTCTCGCCGGGAGATAATACAGACAGATGCTTCACTAAGTGGCTGGGGGGCAGTGTGGCAGCACATGATGATCAGGGGATTATGGAAACCCGAGCAAGCCACAAAAGACATAAATACCCTGGAGCTCCAAGCAGTGCAATTAGCTCTGAAGCATTTTGCGCCGGCCCTAAAGAATCGCCATATTCTCATCAGAACGGACAATACATCGGTGGTATATCATATCAACCATCAAGGCGGCACAAGGTCCAGTCAGTCCTTGAGAGTAGCACAAGACCTCCTGACATGAGCCTTCCCTCGATTCGCAAGCGTCAGGGCAATGCATATACCGGGAGTGTCGAATGTGGTGGCGGACTTCTTGTCTCGCCACAGACCTTTGCCAGGAGAATGGAGACTCAATCCAGAAGTTGTTCAGATGATTTGGCGACGATTTGGCAGAGCACAGGTGGACCTGTTTGCCTCAGAGACCTCGACCCACTGCCCCCTGTGGTTCTCCTGGACAGAGAAGTCCAGCCCGTTAGGTCAGGATGCGTTAGCACATGCCTGGCCAAATCTTCTACTCTATGCCTTTCCCCCGAACCCCTTAATTCTGCCAACTCTCCACAGAATTCTTCAAGGGAACCACAGGATGCTCCTAGTGGCACCGAACTGGCCAGGGAGACATTGGTTTCCAATGTTATGCAGGCTTCTCAATGGGGAGCCCTGGAGCCTACCCAGGAGGCAGGACCTGCTCCTTCAGTTGCAGGGGCAGATTTGGCACTCAAACCCAGATCGGTTACAGCTCTGTGTCTGGCCGCTGAAGAGCCAGAATTACTGTTGAAGTCTTGTGATGTTAAGGTGCAAAACACAATCCTGAATTCTAGAGCACCTTCCACCAGGAATATCTATGCTTGCAGGTGGAAGCTTTTCACTGATTGGTGTACACCAAGAAGTTTGGTCCCAGACCACTGCCCAGTGCCAATGGTGTTATGTTTTCTGCAGTCCCTGCTAGACAATAACAGGGCTCCCTCTACCCTAAAGGTATATGTGGCTGCAATTTCTGCCCAGCATGTAAAGGTAAATGGTCAATCACTAGGGTCACATATTCTAATCACCCGCTTTCTGAAAGGTGCTCAGCGATTGCACCCTGCTCCAACTGTTAGAGTACCCGCATGGGACCTCAGTCTGGTTTTAAGAACACTTGCACAACACCCATTTGAGCCAATGGAGCATTGTGACCTGAAGTGGCTTTCAATAAAGACTGTATTCCTTTTGGCAATAACGTCAGCCAAACGTGTTGGTGAGCTCCACGCATTGTCAACCAATACGTCCTGTATGCGTTGGAATGCGGATGGAACAATGGTGACATTGTGGCCTAACCCCTCATTCCTACCCAAAAGGCTCTCAACTTCATTTAGGAATCAACCAATTGAGTTGGTAGCACTTAATCGTTCTGTGTCTGACACACAAGAGCGCAATCCAATGGAACAAGTATGCCCAGTGCGAGCCCTTCGGGGCTATCTGAGTGCCACAGAGAAACTGCGACGGTCAGACCAACTCTTTCTCTGCTACGGCGGGCCAAGAAAAGGGCAGCCTCTGTCAAAGCAGAGGTTGTCACACTGGGTGGTGGAGGTCATTCTCCAGGCATATAAGGAAAACAACCTGACAGTGCCAGCCGGCATAAAATGCCATTCAACAAGAAGTATCTCAACATCTTGGGCAGCATTAAAAGGTGTACCTCTAATGGACATTTGTGCAGCGGCTAATTGGTCATCCACTGATACCTTTTCCAGATACTACAGGGTTAATGTGGCAGCCCCTGGTGCTCTGGAAGCGGCAGTCCTCTTGGGACCCTCAACTTCAGCTTAGGGTTAGGAGTAGCCTCCTCGTGACCTTGTTGTTATGAGTCATCCAGTGGGAAGCACTGCCTCTGGCGGTCAGTAAGAACGAAATAGAACGAGAGTTACGAATGTAACTACGGTTCTATGAGTTCTGGATGACCGCCAGAGCACCCTGTCACTCGGAGTCTCGCGAGAAGATTCTGTAGAGACAGTTTGCAGGATGTCACGGGGTTAAATAGAGGGGATCCCCATGACGTACCTGGTCATGTGATGACTTTGTTGTTATTAGACTCGACCTGAGCATGAGCAAGAGAGATAATATTCAGTGGGAAGCACTGCCTCTGGCGGTCATCCAGAACTCATAGAACCGTAGTTACATTCGTAACTCTCGTTCTGTTCCTGAGTCTTGTTCCCTTGCCTGGGTCTTTGTGTAGTTTGAGTGTATTTAAATAAACGTGCTGCATTTGGATCCTGCTTCCTCCTTGCTTCAACCTCACCCCTACGTAAAAATAATACTATAAGTACTAGTGTTTCTGTATCCAAAGTTAGTTTGAGGCTAGATACAATTAATGAACTTAACATAATTATACTTTATCATTTTAGATTATATATTTATATTTTTTCCCCCTCAAATCATTCCAGGGCTGTGTTTAACACCCTTGTTTTAAATCACCCATAGAACACAATAGTTTTAGTGTGATAGGGAAGTGTACTTTGTGCTGTTGGAAGTACTGAGCAGCTCCCACCCCGCCTGGCTCCTCTGCGGACCACAGCACCGTCCTCAGTGTTCTTTTAGGACGCAGCCCTGGGGACCCAAGCAATAGACAGTATGAGCCAACCTAGTCAAATTTCAGAATACATTTTCATAATGCAGACACTGTTATATTGCCTCACTGGCTGAGATCAAGGTTAGTGGCTTTCATCAATCTGATCATAAGCAGAAAAGGACAGGAGAATATTACATTTAATTTTAAAATAAAAGTGCATTTGTAAGGTGAGGTTCACACATCAGAGGCTACATGCTGATTATTCTGGGAAGACAGTGCTTGATGATCCAGGCACTTGATAACTTGTCTGTACTTCCAGCAGAGTTGAATCTGTAAGAGATATTTTGGGCTTAATTGTGTTGGGCTTTCTCAATGATCCAGATGGGAGAACTGTCCATCTCCTGAACTGCAAAGTATACATGAAAACTGGTCACTGTTTCCAAGTCAAATGCCACATCAGAGGATGCTTCCAAGAAAACATAATATACCAAAACATGCTAATACGAGTAGATTTATGGATCCTGAGTAAATAGCTTACATAGTAAAAATAGAGCCAAGGACTCAATGAACTGAATGTTGTTGAGAATACTTACTCTACTACCAGCACTGAAATGAATCATGTTGTCTGTGGTTATTGTGCACCATTATAGCTTTATTTTGCCAGTGTTTGTGGACGCTCCTTGCCAAGAGAAAGATCTTAAATACAAATGAGCACAACCCTCGGTATTGCCTGTGCAATAAAGCAACAATAGAGAGGAGAGGAGCCAAGAGACTCACACTGCATTGCATACTGACACTCAGCAAGAATTTTAATAATCTCCATTATAATGGAATATTCTCTATACACTCCACTACTTCTACAGTTGCTGCAGATGCCTGCAAAACCAAAACATTAGCAATTACTTTAAATAGTAATTAAAAAAATAATAAAATAAAACAATTATAATGTTTTGTTTTAAATGCGGATTGAAACACATGCATCTAACACGAAGCATTTTTATTGATAATTCATGGCTAATTTTTAGCAGAAATATTGGTCACATGGTTTGATACAGTGGCATTATGCATAACATATATTTTTAGACCTGGATAAGTTTGTTCTTACCTGTTATTTTGACGTGATCTCACAAGTATTCTTATGTATTTTACATAAAGTGTGGTTCTGCACACGTACAATTATATTGAGTTGCATTGTTTTTATGTTACGCTGCTGTAATTGTTTAATCACTACTATTATGTAATTTGCCATTGAATACAAAAGGCTTTTTTTTTATAAATATGCTGTGCCTCAAGAAATTACTATAAAATACACCAAAAATGCTGTTAACTACTAACCATTGCTTCAGGCCATCAGTCAGTACGCTGTAAACGTCAACATGTTGTGAAGTGTGACCAGGGATGTAGTGGAGGCTAAACGCACGTAAACGCCGTTTACGCACCTCCCAATATTCGGAAATAGCGTTTACCCACCTCCAAAGTGCGTTTATCCACCTCTAAATAGCGTTTATCCACCTCTAAATAGCCCGTAGTTCCTAAGACATTTTAAATTAAGCTTATGTCGTTTTAGTTTCATATTGTTCATTAGTAGTTTCATAGGTTGTTAAAACTAAGACGAACTCTTTCATATTGCGCTGCATTACTGTCAGTGTTGTTGACTTTTACTGACGAACGGTAAGGTTGCGCTGTTGACGCTCGCGCAGCCTCTCGAGCAGAAATCTACACAAATGAGCGCACACACACACTCAGTTAACCAGTTAACAACATACTGCCTATAAAAAATCTAAATGTGGAGTTTTTATATTTTTAACATATGTTAAGCAACCTCAATTATTTTTCCTGAACACCATCACGGTTGAAAATGTGACATTTTCTTACAACAGTTTAATAAACATTTAAAATTAAGTCACTTACATTTTAGATGCAATATTGGCTGTTTTTGTTCTGTTTCAGCAGCGAAAATAGTTCCAAACAAAAATCACAGCAGAACCACGGCACATCTCACAGGAACACTCAACCTGTTTTCATTACTGAATGATTCAGCATTTTGAACGAATCGATTGAGTCAAAGATTCAATGACCCATTCATAAACATCTGTCTCATTCTTGAATGAATCAGCCATTTGAACGAATCGTTTGTTTGTTTGAATGAATGAATCAATGACTCACTCATTAAGACGGTCGCCTGCCGCCACCTACTGGGGGTTTAGTGTTATGTTTAAAAGTAGTATCATTCTTTCCAATGTTTCTTATATGTAAATTTAAATCAATTTCATAACATTATTTTACACAATTGTAATTTTTCAGTGTAAATTATTTAATTTCATCAGCCCCTAGGGTAACAGCCCTATAGTGTCTTATTATTCTAAATAATTGAATTTATTGACCAAATTTATGAATTTAAAATGAAAGATGTATAGGGGGAGGGGATGCCCTTTAAAGGTGCAGATATTACAATATGCCGATTTAAATATCAAAGCTGATTGAACACTGATGAGAATAATCAGAATAAATGAGAATATTGTTTTAGAATAAATTAACACACACACCAAAAAAAAAAAAAAAATCCGGACGAGCAATTTTTTTACTCAGACAAGTGAATGACATATTTACTTGTCCGAAGGACAAGTGAAAAGGCTTAATGTCGAGCAATGTTAGCAATGTCATCAGGTAGGCAGTGGCCCACCTTACCGGGTGACCACGTCGTGGTCCACCAGAATTTATAGTTTACCCACCTCTTTTTTTACCACTACACCTCTGAGTGTGACGTAAGTGCGTTGCGAAACTCGGTTGCGATACAGAAGCACAAAGAAGTGTGTGTTTCACAACACACTTACGTCATGCTTCACAACATGCTGACGTTCACAGCATGAAGATAGTTGGCCGGAAGCAATGATTTATAGTTTAAAAAGTTTAAAAGTTTAATATTTTTGTCACACACACCTACTGGTTCACTTTAGAAGACATTGATTTATCACCTGGGGTCGTATGAATTACCATTATGAGCAAATAATGATAGAATTTTTATTTTTGGGTGGAGTATCCCTTTAAATTCGGCTCTGTATCTCATTCAAAACTATTGTATTCTGCCAGAGAGAACTATGAATGCAACACATGATTTGGACTACTTTGTTAGTTCTTTTTAACATTTTCAAAATAAACTGAATGAATTATTGTGATTACACTTACCTGTTTCTTAAATTTTTCTTTATACTGTAGATATTTTAAGAAATTAGTTGGGATCAGATTTAGAGGTAAGAGTGGAATTAGCGGTACAAAAATATATATTTAATGGTATATTGTTACTAAAATGGTCAATGTACCATTTTCTTCTCATTACATTTTATATATTCTTTTTATACTCTATAAAAATGGTTATGAATAGGCATGAAATTAGGGGTTAAGGGATTTTAAAACTATATCAATAAAATATAAAACAACTATACAAATATATTTGTCTAGATAGATAGATAGATAGATAGATAGATAGATAGATAGATAGATAGATAGATAGATAGATAGATAGATAGATAGATAGATAGATAGATAGATAGATAGATAGATAGATAGATAGATAGATAGATAGATAGATAGATAGATAGATAGATAGATAGATAGATAGATAGATAGAGGGACAAGCTGTCATTCCCATGACATCACAGCAATACCAAACCACAACCATCCAATCAATTCCCGATGGACAAAATCAAGTCCCGCCCTAGATTTTTTCCTGTTTGAGAAGCCGGATGTAAGTCACAATAGGGAAGAAAAGACTATCACAACTTCCTTTTCATGCCGACTTTAAATACAACAAATTGAAAAACATTAATAATATATATATATATATATATATATATATTTTAAATATAATAAAAATGCTTAGAATGTTTCTCACGTGTATATCAAAGTCACTGGCACTTAAGTCAGGTGCACACTGTGCGATTTTGGCCACGATTTGACTGTCTGAGACAAATTTAGCAAATCCTAAAAGATTCCTCTGATCCTTGGTTAAAATCCGATTAATAACCGTTGTGGTCAAATTTGACCTCAGACGAAATTCTGGCAGTGTCAGAAGATTTGACTCACAGTCCTGCAGTGTGACTTCCCCTACGACGAGCGTCAAATTGTCTTCGTTTTTAAAGACAAGCCATGACCAAAAGTAACAATAGAGATTTCTTTGTAACCACCATTTCAATACCGCGTGTAACGCAGCTCACATCACCGAACGTGTCATTGATTGACAATGTAAAACTCCGGACAAGTTCTCTTTCGTGCGTCCGTTTTTGACTGCCGTACAGTCTGACATTAATGACAATAAGATTTTACAGTGTGACATGGCTTACGATTATCATGTTCTTACAGTCTGACAAGCAACAATCGTAAAGGACTATTATAAATCACAGTGTGCACCCGGCTTTAGTCATGTGACGGGGGGAGAGAGAGAGAGAGAGAGAGAGAGAGAGAGAGAGAGAGAGAGAGAGAGAGAGAGAGAGAGAGAGAGAGAGAGAGAGAGAGAGAGAGAGAGAGAGAGAGAGAGAGAGAGAGAGAGAGAAGTTCTCCAAATGTTACCATCTTATAGGTCTCACCTAAGTCTCTGATCAAAGAAAGTGCCTCCCAGGAAATGGCGACTCCACCTCCATCATCCATAGCGCCCTGACCCACGTCCCAGCTGTCCAGGTGACCACTGAGCAACACCACCTGAAAGAGACCCAGAGCAAAAAGCATTCGAATGAACAGTAAAATAAATATTTAATAACATATTTTCTCAGCATAGTTTTTTTGGTGTGTTTTCTTTTCTAGTTACACAATAGTTTATTCATGTATAAAAAGGGTTTACATAACAGACTGTAAAGTGAAAAAAGGCTTCCTTGTCAAACTTTTCCAGATGTTGGCTGTCAGTCTAAATGGATCTTGTCAAAGTCAGGCCACAGTGAAAGACTTTAGACTGATGCTCTAAATTAGATTTAAAGTCTAAACATCCTGCTCTCACCTCCCATAGTTCTAACACTGGCTAAAATATCTCCCTTTGCATCTTCCACCAGTTTACATTCACTTTCAGCAGAGCTAAATAAACTTTAGGAATATAGCTTACAAATAATTCTCCCATTGCGTTTCTCTACTGTCAATATGACATTCACACAATGGGCTGGTCAAGGAGCTTGGAAATGTATGGCAATAAAAGCATAAAGGCTTTTAAAAATCATGAACATTTGGGGAATAAAACTCAAACAAAGTCTGTTTTTGAGACTCGCCTCAGTTAAGTGAGGGTTTTCCAGAGAATTTTGTCAAAATCCCATTGGCAAATATACAAATGTGGCCTGGAGATCAGCCAATCAGCTACAAGTCTTCTCCTTCCAAATGTATTTTTGAATGTTATGACAGATTTTTTCTATAAATTACAATATCATTTTGTTGTCAGTATCATAACAGGTTAACTCCCAATAGCATGAGAAAAGGCTAGCATTAATCAATGCCAACCATCTGTGAGTTTCAACGGCTGGACTCCAGAGCAACAGCCAACGTGCCAAAATTACAAAGACATTGCAAAATTACAAAAAAAATGATGTAGTGGCCATTCTTTTGTTCAATGGAGAATAAATGATCTCATCTAGACTTTGCGCTCTTGTGATCAAGACACCAGAAGGACGCAGATGGAATCGTCTAGCAATTCCAACTGTTCTTTAGTGATGCTGAATTATTAAAGAGCAGACAAATTGGGTCGTTATTTAGTCATCCGCGTGCCATCTCAAACCCATTTGGTGTTGCTGTTTTCATTTTGAAGACATTTTGAATAATCTTTATGCAGCTCATTTACAGTATACAGTATACAGAAAAAAGGTCATAATGGCAACTGTCAAGCTCCAAAAAGGACAAAGAGCACCATTAAATAGACAATATGATTTTTGCACTATTTTTCAAGTCTACAGAAGTCATACGATAGCTTTGTGTGAAGAAAAAAGAGAGACATTTCAATTATTATTTACTTATAATCTTCTGTTTCCAAAAGCTTTGAAATGTCATTCACATTTTGTGTTTAAACGGCCTGTACGATTTTTTTTTTTTTTTTTTTTTTTTAAGAAATAGTTTTATTCATCATGGATATATCATATTGATCAAAAGTGACAGTAAAGTGACAATTTTTCTTTCAAATAAATGCTGTACTTTTCATCAAGCAATCATAAAAAACAAATGTATCACGTTTTCCAAAATAATATAGCACTACTGTTTTCAACATTAATAATGATAATAAATGTTTCTTGAGCAGCAAATCAGCATATTATAATGATTTCTGAAGGATCATGTGACACTGAAGACTGAAGAAAATTCAGCTTAGCCATCACAGGAATAAATTACATTTTAAATTACATTAAAATGGAAAACAGTCATTTTAAATTGTAATCATATTTTTACAATATAACAGTTTTTTACTGTATTTTTAATCAAATAAATGCAGCCTTTTTGAGACTTCTAATAAGAGGTCTTTTCAAAAACCTTTTAAAAATCTCAAACATTTGAATGTTAGTATAAATAATAGCAACATAAATATATATATAATAATTAATAAATTAGATACAATTACACAAATAAATACATTTTGAGTAAATAATGAATAGAAGTCTTATCTACTCATTCCAATACTTTTTTTATCCCTTGAAATGTATGTAAGAAAACAGTCATTGGTAACCCGAACATGAAATGTGTAAGTAAAAATGACATAAATTCTAGTATTATGCCACCACTTACTCAGAATCAAGAACATCTAAAAGTCTGAAAGCTTTACGTCAATGCACAAATCAACATAAAACTGTGTGTCACTTCTAGTACTTTCTGCAATCCTCTTCAAAGCCAAATCGCAAACAGAAGCTATTTTCCACTTCTTTCAAGTAAAGCAAACAAACAAAAAGTTAACCAGATGTCACCAGAGACTGAAGTAAGACCGGTACTGCATACATTACTGGTTTGGCAGGAGGACCGGCCTAAATTGATGTGGTCCTGAAATATGGAACTGGTGGATTAACCTAAACATGTTTTTGTGCATAAAGGAAAATACTTTTTTTTTTTTTTCTAATTGCAGTTTTGGTTTTGAATATACTTAAAACTAACTAGCATTACTGACTAGCAATAATCATGCCGTCTGGCCAAACACACACCATGAGGTTGTGAAAAAAGGAAAAATAAAGAGAGATTTAGTAGTGAGTACGGAGACAAAGGAAGATTTGTCTTCAAATTAAACTTAACTTCCTAATAACTATGTGACAGGGTGGAATGCAAGGGCTCACTGACCTCATAATTAAACACTATCATGTCAACGTTAATGAGCTCTGACAAGATGAGGCTATTAATTACAAGGCACTGAAATATGAATGAGGGAGTGAAATTAAGAGAGTGCACAGAGAGAGGATGAGTTCAACCTAATGAGCCCGCTATACAAAGGGAATCATATGAAACACGTATTCACGTATTATGCAGCAAATCTGGACAAGACAGGGGCCAAAACCTAGAACTATAGCTGAACAATCAAGATGTGTACATAAAAATGAACACACATGCTGTGCTGATCAAATTAATCATACAGTATTAAGTTAAAGAATTATAAGTCTCACTTAAAATGTTACTGTATGAACTCAACAGCATTGAATTGCATACAAAATAACAAACAAAGAGGCAACAGAGGTGCAATAATACCAGAAAATTATTCTTAACTGCTATTTTCTTCTTATTTTCTAACTTAAAAATACTTAAGCATTTCTTTAAAATAATCTTAACTTTTTTATATTATTTTAATATGTTCCTCAAGGTTTATTTGTTATAGGCCTGGTTTCACAGACAGGGCTTAGATTAAGCCAGGATTAGGCCTTAGTTCAATTAGGACATTTAAGTAGCTTTTATAAACATGCCTTAGGAAAAAACATAATGGTGTGTACAACAAAATACTGTTTTTAAGATATGTCAGTGCAAGCCGCTTAAACATGCATTTTAGTCTGGGACTAGGCTTAAACCTTGTCTGTGAAACCGGGGGTTAATATAAAGTCATATATTTGCAAAAAAATATTATTTTAAACTCTCATTCAACTCATTCTGATCTCTATTTGACTTGTTGCAGAGATGTTACTTAATTTCAAATAATAATAAAAAAGTCAAGTCATTCATAATCATAACAGATCACACTTCAGAGTATTTGAGCACATCCCTAGTGATAGTAATATGTACTATATGAAGTGTTATGCTGTAATGTTTAAAGGTTATGCTTACTTTAAGAGGTTATTTATGATGATTTTTAAGAAATTATTTATAGGAATTCAAATTCTTCTTAAGTTTTTTCTTTAATGTTTTTGGGAATACAAAATATTCTTAAATTATTCTTGTTTAGAATGTTTTGTAATATCGCCTCAGAAGCCTGACACGTAATTTGGACCATCGAGTATAAACTAATACGTTTGACTACCACAGTGTTCAAATACATGTTGTAGTCATTTTGTCTTCTTCTCAAACAGCAACATTACACACTAACTAAAAGTTGAAAAAGTGAAAAACGCATAATGCGGGACACCTTTAAATTAAATGCCATTTGCTTTATTTTGTCCTATAATGCAATGAAATCGTAAAAGACACTATTTACCTATTAACAGAGCAAAGTTTCAAATGGGTACACTGTGGCAGTGATGAAATGAAAAGGGGTGTGCTATATGTACACAATCTAAACACTGAAAATGCATCACGGATCAATAACTACAAATACATGAAACATTATATCATGTTTATTAAAGAGATCATTGACCCAAAAATAAAAATTCTTTCAGAATTTACTCACCCTCATGCTGTTACAAACCTGTAGAGTTTGACTTACTTTCTTTGGTGGAACTCAAAAGAAGATATTTTGAGAGAATGTTGGTAACCATTTTAGTAGTTATGACTTCCATTATGTGGACAAAAAACCATTAGACATTTCTCAAAATATCTTCTTTTATGTTCCACAGAAGAAGAAAAATCACACCGGTTTGAAACAACATGAGGGTGAGTAAATTATGACAGAGTTTTCATTTTTAATGGCTTAATGTTATTATAAAAGTTATAATATATTATGTTGTATGTATGTATGAAACTGAGAAAGAGTGAAACCAATGCAGTTCCATTTGCTTTTCTGAAACTTATAACTAAAGGGGGCGATGGGGGTTTTAGTGAATGAGGTCTTCTTTCTAAATTCTTAGGAATGTGTCTGTAAAACACATTAAAAGTGCTTCTCTCGTTTCATATTGTGACAAACATCAACCTATGGTTAAAACTGAAAGACTGCATTGACCGATAAAAAACCCAGTAGAGATGTTTGACTGGTCCACCACAACCAAAATGCTTTCCATAAACAACAATGCTCATATTCTAACCAGACTGGCATCAACCAGACCCCTAAATTAGGTTTACCTACATTTGGACATCTCATTTGGACACACTCCCTGTTTTTCTGGTTGATGAAAAAACATACTTCAAGTTTAAAAACATTTGTGTAACTACAGGAGATGTTCTTACATTCCCTCATTTATTGAACCTGAATGTTTACAGAAAGGGAATTGTGTAACACGGAAGTCATCATAAATATGCCTGTGGACAGACTGTCAGAAAGACAGAGGTTACACAAACTGTCCCTCATTCACTCTCTGCACCCCCACCACTTCCTGGAACTCCAGCATTGTGTGTTGTCC